CTGGTGTGGGGCTGCAGTTTCAATAGGCTCAAGGCGTGCAGAAGGGAATTGGCCCTCCCGATCACCACCTATCCTCGCCTACCTCAACCGACACCCACTAAAACCCCGACCTCCCTTGACGTTGGCCAGTCATTCGGGAGTGATTTTTCGTCTTTCAAAGTCTTACTCCAAGTTTTACGGACTAATGCCTTTGGGATGGCCTTTTTCCCATACTTGTTGTCATTCGTCATTTCTCTGTCCATCTGTAGTCTATTATTAATCGACCAGCACCATTTACGAGCTATCTCTGTCGCAGAAGCGGGGTCTTTCTCATTGATTACTCTGTCATTTCGAAGCTTCCAGATAAGATGTGCCGACTCTGATATCAGAATCCGGAACAGTCTCGTGGTGCCGTCGTCGGCCTTGTCTATCATTCCGCACGCCATTATTTGGCCTGTCGTGGGCAGTGACAGTTCGCTCCCAGTTTTCATCTCCCACAGTTTGCTGGCAAGCTCCCAGACTTCCTTCTGGCCTGGCGCTTCACACTGCGTTAAGATGTGTTTCATCGACTCGTCCACATCTCCACATCTGGGTTCTTTACACGGGCCTTTCCACTCGTGTCCGGGTATGTGTTCCCAATGCTTCCCCACTTTATAACCATCGTGAATCAACATCCAGAGGAAGAATCGGATGTTCCTTGATATGTCCTTGTGGCGTATCGAGGCCCACATTTTCTTGTCTGTCACCTCCTTCTGGTTCATCGTTGGATGCGGAAGATCCTAGAACTTAAGATCCTTTCCTTCAAAGTGCTAAGCCGTAGTTTGCTGGATGTGAAGTTGTTACAAACTGAAGTCTGAAGAAACAGAAACTAGGACTACTTATATATCGATAAAAAAAGTACATCTAATACTTATCCGATCTAAGTATGTCTATATGTAGATGAGTGGTTCACCGCTCCATATTCCGTTGTCAGGGATCTGCGTCGCCCAACCGGCCATCTCTTGCTCATCCGAGTCAAAGGTGACGCCAAACGGAACCAGCACGTTGTCATATTCCGAGTGGTACGATACTGGTGGCAAGGCTTGTGCGCTGGTGGCAACAGGAAACTCGACAGGCGAGGACAGGTAAGCAATGGGCGATGAGGCCTGTGACATGCTCAAATCTGAGCTGCTGGAGGCAGGGCTGCTGTGCATGCTAGTGTTGGAACTTGGCCGAGACAGGGAAGTGGGAAGAGGACGGGGTATAGTGAGTATTGTACAGATGAAGCCAGCACACGCAAAAACAGATGCGACACCTGCTGCATCATATTACTAAAGTGTCGCTTCTGTTTCAATATTACGTATGATACATTGATTGTCCCATCAGACTGAAATGATCCCCAACAACATATATATAATGTACCTTTCCCCTTAAACGAACCTTTAACTAACCCTAACCGAACCTAACCAACCCTAACCAGACCTAACCAACCCTAACCGAACCTAACCAACCCTAACTGAACCCTAACTAACTGAACCTAACCAACTTAATAAATACTAACAAGATAAAATACCAACTGTTGCCATCTCCTTTATCATCATATTATGATTGTATCATCGAAATTTGCTGTATCAAATGTTTGATTTTGATGCTTAGATAGGACACGTGTCGCATCTAACTACAAGGTGTCGCATCTGTTTGTGCGTGCGCTTGCTTCATCTGGTATGTCCCGGGGTATAGTGATAGTTGCTGTGCGACCAGGCCGCGGTGCTATCGAAGTGACTATGTGAGTTGTAGTAACCTCCGGCAACTTGCAAGGGTAGTGTTGCTGCCGAGGAGGTCCAGTGCTGAAGGTCGGAATGTATCGGCGGGGCGGGCGAGTGAAACGACGAGCTTCTACTCGAGCTGCTGCTGGACCCGGGGCTGGTGCTAGCAGAGGCGTAGCCATACATGTCGAAATCGTGACCCGAAGGAAGGTCTGAGAACCGGGGGTCATCGATGAAATCGAGGTATGAATGGAAGCCGATTTGGACGGGGGCGGCGGGGGGATATAATGGCACGGGAGCTGCTGCAGGCGGAGACTGCTCTTGTTGCGTGAAGATGTGAGGCGAAGCAACCGGCGCGTTGACACCATAAAAATAGTCATCGGTCGCAGCGCCGGGATAGTTTGAGGGTCCAGCTGTGCCGTTGGAGTAGTCGTAGACGCCAAATGCTCCATTGTCGGACTCCTCCTCCTCCGCGCTGACATCACTGGCGCCGTCAATTGACGCGGATCGGCGGGCGGCCCGACACTCTAGGCTGCGGGGCACGTACTCCTTAGGGTGGTGCTTCTGTTCATGGTGGTTCATCCCCGCCGCGTCGCCCGTTCGGTGGATGCAGTATCTGCACGCAAAAGGCTTGGCCCCAGTGCTGAGAGGTCAATTAGCAGGGTGGCAAAGTGGGTGGCACGAAACGCACTGGCTATTTATGTGGGTCCGGAGCCCGCTCTCCTGCAGACACGCGACGGTACACCCTGGAAATGTGCATTTGAAAGACCTGTTCCGCTTCGATTAGACGGTGGAGATGGGTCACAGACAAGGGACGCACACTTCGAGGCGCTCGGCGGGCAGCAGGTGCGTGTTTTGGTGGCGCAGTAAATCTGTCCTTGTTTTAAAGGACCAGTCGCAGCCAGGCTCGATGCACTGGTATTTGCGCTTGGGGAAGGGCGGCCGGCGTCCCTTGCGTTGTTTCTGGGTTGGCTGGGCTCGCGGCATCGTCGATGTGGAAGGGATGAGAGGAGGATATAATCACCGATGGGCAATGGGTGGCGGGAGGGGAGGTGGCTGACAAGCGGCTTGGGAAACCCCTCCCTCACCAGCAAGCAGCTTTTATACCCAATCCCTCCTCCCCAGCCGGATTGCTTGCTGAAATTGCCTGTTCGGGCAGCGCCACTCTCGCCACTCGCGCGGAATCGCCATATGCGGGGCTGGCCGGTGACAGCCTTTGTGCTGCAGCGGCGCTTTGGACGCGTCACAATGCACTGATGGCGCATCGTGATTCTGTGATGTCAGTGCTGGGACCAGTTTTGCGGCCACGTGGCATTGAGGGGAGGACAATGGGCCTGGTTGCTATGGCGGTGCTTGGTCCGGCTGATCAGGCCGAGGGTGAGAAAGGTGTGAGGTGTCGAAGACGGAGCTGAAGCTGGTGAACAAAGTCGGCGATGGGGCTGAAAAGTGCCAGTGTCGCGAGCGCTGAAGCAGTTGCCAAGACTCAAGAGGAAGAGTTCAGCGCGGACTTTGAAGTAAGACCTATGGGTGGAAGCTGTCTCCCCCAGCTAGCACATAGCGTCCGCGGTCGTGGGTGTCCCCTTCGTCGTCGTCATCGCGAGTGGCAAGAAAAAATGATGTCGCATCACCCGTTCATCCGATTCGATCGATATCAGAGTTTCAGACATTTCGCCCGACCTGAGCGTCTCCACAAGATCTGGCGCCGAGCTACTTAGTAGATATTTCATGCCACGAGCAATAGTCATCTCACTTAGCATTCCGCGCCCCAGCCAGTCCGCAGAATGATAAGGTCCGTATTCCAAATACTTACGCCTGCCCTGCCTCGAACCCGCGATGCTGTGGAACGGCGTGATGCTTACGTGGCGCGTTCTTTGCCTCCTGCGCTCATGTCCTTTGCTTTACATGCGCGCTGTCTCTTCCGTCGGCGCCACGGTCATGCATTACAGGGCGCTTCTATGCTGACCGTGAGTTCGTCGCGGGTCGGTGTCACTGTGTCAGGGACTCAGTGTGGAGTGGGACGACTGGACTCCAAGTTGGCCTTGTGGCCGCTGTGCGTGTTCTAGGGCGTGGGCGGGAAAGTCCGGTGAGCGAGTCGTTACTTTTACTTTCCATGGGAGTCGTTGAACGCTTCAGTTCAAGTGGTCCAACTTCTGTTATCGATATCGCCATTGAATAAACAGGAAGACGTGTTCAGACGCGAATACTGCCTGCGCGGTCAGGCACTCATCTTCTCTGTCGGGCCCATTGTCTGTACTGACTGCCGTCGGGCGAATCGGGACAAGCGGACACCGTGGTGTCATCACAGTAGCGGCCATTTCTATTCGTTCTACTGGTCCAATCCGCGGCAACCTCGAATTCCTGCTACTTGACATCGGGAATGCTTCCTGTCCTGCGCCGTTCAATGCAGCCACCTGTTCAACAGCGCGTCTACGTTCCCCAACTCCTTGTTTCTAGAATTTACTATCGCCAGCTGCGCGAAACACGATAAAATCCTGCCCCTCCCTCCCCAATCCTTACTCCAACCAACCACCGTTGCAGTAAACCCTCAGAAACACCATGTTCGCCAAGCTCACTGCCCTCTTTGCGCTCGCTGTAGGCCTCATTCTCGCTGGAACAACTCTTCTTCAACTGACCATCCCGGGCCATAGACCCTTGCTGCCGCCACCACGCCCACCTCGCCGCAGTGTTGCAACAGCGTCGTGAGCTCGACGAGCGCCGCCGCATCCGCTGTCGCTGCCATTGTCGGCGTTGACCTCACCGGCCTCAACGTCCCGGTCGGCCTCAGCTGCTCACCCATCACCATCGGTGGAAACAATTGGTCGGTCCCGATTTGCAAGTACAGGATCAATGTGCTAATGCATTTCACAGCGCCCGCCTGAGTGTCATCTGCGAGCCCCCGAAGGCGGAGTGGGCCGGGCTCATCGCGCTCAACTGCCTCCCTATCACTGCCTAAACGAGTCGCTACTGTTTGTAATGGCTTGTCGGAAAAATCCAGTGTGCAGTTTTTCCTACTACTTAGTTGGTTGCGTGTCTGGTTGCTTGGTGCCCAATAGAGGGATGTATATTTAAATTGTTCAAGTTCGCGTGCAGGAGATTTCCTTCTCAGTCCCTCAAGCAACGGCTCGGAGAAAGTTCTGCGTTAACAAAGAATTTATCGTGGAGGCATCGTAATGGAGCATATTACTAGTCTAGTAGTAGTGTCGTCCGAGATGTCCTGATAGCATAACTTTGGATTAAGCGCCTGCCCGCACCGGTATTCGAACGTGGGTCCTTTCAATGCTTGTATCGATTGATCAGCATGATGACGCGCACTCTTCTTTCCTCTTTCTCTCATGTCGCTGTCCTGCCTGTGTCAACCCTCCCCCTAGTTTCACCGACGCGCCGATGCTTCGATATACGAGTACAGCGACGTCATCCCACCGCATTCGACCGAATGCCTTTAGCGGGTGTGCGTTCCCTGTACCTTGTGGAGTGGGAGAGCGTGTGTTGAGTCGTTGCGGCCCCGAGAGCGTTGGACGTGATGCATGGGATGGGTTGAACGCGCTGGTTGACATCGGAGGGACACTCGTGAGTGACAATAATGACTTTTTCCAGTCCTGACTGCTGAGCGAATTATACAGAATTCCAGTGCTTCGTTACCTTCCGAGGAAACAAGAGCCATGAGAGACGCCAACATGTCCACCGATAGATGTGTTCTACGGCGCCTAGGAGCATCAGAGGGAAACTTGTGAGTGACATTAATGACTTCTTACAAGTGCTGACTTCTGAGCAGGTCGTCACGAGAATTCGAGTGCTTCGTTGCGAGCAACTTGCGACGTTGTCTCGTTAGGAAACAAGAGCCATGGGAGCCGTTGAGAGGCGCCAACATTTCCTCCCATAGATTCCCAATCTTTGTGTTACACCGTCGGGCGACACAGAAATCCACCCATTCATTGGACAGTTGGCACTGTTCATTCACTTCTTATTGGCTGTCTCCCACCAATTCCGCGGCACTTCCTCAACTCATCATGGCAGCAGGAATGCTCGCTCCTCTGCGACATGCACGTCCAACCAGCCACCGACGTCATCTCGCGCGGAATACAACTCAGCGAATAAGCAAGCCCCTTATCGCTATGCGGAATGGGATAAAAGGCGACGCTGCTCTCTGCCATTCCTCACTCCAACCACCCACCAGTTGAAGTAAACACTCCCAGACAAACATGTTCTCCAAGTTCGCTGCTCTCTTCGCTCTTGCTGTAAGGCTTCTTCCACGCACCCACTGATAATTTACTCATCGTCGACAGACCCTTGCCGCCGCCGCTCCCTGGGACACTCCCCCAGTCACTCCCCCAACCTCGCCCCAGTGCTGCACAAGCGTTCAGAGCTCCACCAGCAGCGCTGTTAGCGCCGTCGCTGCCCTTCTCGGGCTCGACCTCAGCGGCCTCAATGTCCCCATCGGCTTGGGCTGCTCGCCCATCACTGTGGTCGGAAACAACTGGTACGTACGCTGGTATGTGTTGCTTATTATACTCATTTTGATTCGTAGCGGCAACACTACCGTTGTATGCGATGCTCCACAGAAAGAATGGGGTGGCTTGATTGCAATTAACTGCATCCCAATCACTTTGTGAGATGTGCTATGGGTTATTACTAGGTGTCTTGGCGTCGAAAACCATCTTGTGTTGAAACAATCTTCCTTCACGTTGACTTCCTCTCTTGCTGCTCACTTGATTGATTGAGTCCGAGTCCCACTGAATTCCTTCAAGTTCTCCCCTGAACCTTGAGCTTTCAAGTTTGAGATCACGGCAGTATCGATTAGTATCGAACTTGGTCTGGGACTTGACTCTTTGAAGTAGACTGTGACGGACGTGGCGTAAACAATATCAGGTTGACGAAAAGCTTTCAAGTTTGAGATCACGGCAGTATCGATTAGTATTGAACTTGGTCTGGGACTTGACTCTTTCAGGTTGACGAAAGAATGATGTGTATGTGTGCGCACGGATGAGAGGGACAAGAGCGTTTGGTGCGGAATACACAGGGGCCGGCAACCATCATGATTAAATCTTACCGTTGTGTTTGGCAATCGTCCCACACGGCGCGGCATACTCGACTGCGAGACGGTCGAGCGTACAACCCACCCCTGCCCACCTTATTGTCGGTCCCCTTGCGGTCCCCGGTCGATCGTAGCACGGAGGAGGGTCGAATCTGCAGTGGTGTTGGCTGAGTTGTTCGTCACGGTTGTTCTGCTGACTCCTGTGGTCATGGTTCTAGGGATGGATGTTACACCGTGCTGAGCACTCATTCAAGGCTTCGAGGGATGCGCATAGGATGAATCATGACCGCGACAATGGGCGGTGGCGATGTTGCAACAGATCGACGTCATGGCAGCAGGAGAGACGGTAGAAGGACTTACTGAGAGCCATATCTCATCGACCAATCTGCCCGCCCAAGGGCCCCAGATGTTGCCGACTGTCCGGGCGGATCGGGGCAAGAGAAATAAAGCGGACTCACTTGAGGTTGCGGTTCATGCTGAGCCGGAGATGACCTTGACTGAGGGGTACCGGGGGGAGTCGTATGAGCGTAATTCCCTGCTTCCTCTCACACCTTTTAAGTATCTCATATGAGTCGCTCGGCACGTCAATACGTGACATGCCGCAGCGTGCCGCGCCACCTGATCAACGTGCCAGACGTTCAGCGCGGCCAATCACAGCGAGATTGAGGTCATGCCGAACGGCGGCCGCCTCAGCTTCAGCCCGAACGTGATATAACACCAGGATTGTCTAATTTTGACGTGTCCGTCCACAAAAGCACCCACTAACTTGACAACAAACTTCAATAAGTCAAATTTCAAGCTCGATGACGAAGGAGATACATGGGTTCTCAACACAAGAAGTGGAACGACACAGCGGTTACCTGGCGTTTTGCTGCTCTCTCCTTACAGAGTGATGGGGATGCAGTTGATGGCAATGAGGCCGCCCCACTGAGCCTCCGGGGCGTCGCAGGTGACCTTGGTACCACCGCTGACAACGCATCAGCCTCAGACAAGATGACAAAAGTATGAAACTTACCAGTTGTTGCCGATGACGGTGATGGGCGAGCAGCCGAGGCCAATGGGAACATTGATACCAGTGAGGTCGAGGCCAACGAGGGCGGCGATGGCAGAGACAGCGCTGCTGGTCGAGCTCTGCACGCTCTTGCAGCACTGAGGAGAGGTTGGGGGAGTGACCGGGGGTGGAGGAGTCCCGGTGGCGGCAGCAAGGGTCTAGAGAAATTAATCAGCGATTGAGAAGCCAGGAAGACATAGGATCTACAGCAAGAGCGAAGAGGGCAGCAAACTTGGATAACATGTTCTTTGAGTGGTTACTTCAACTGGTGGGTGGTTGGAGTGAAGATTTGGAACGAGTCCAGGTGGCTTTTATTGTGTTCTTGGTTTGCTCAGCTGGGGTTGATGACGGAGCAGATGAGGACAATAAAGACCGAAGGCCCGCATAAAACTTGGCGTGGAGCCGGTCGTTCAGAAAGATACATCTTGTTGTTGTGACTTTGCTCTCCGTTGGGGAACCGAATGGGGTTTGAAACCCATCTGGAACATACTACTTGCGCAAAGGGGCACACAGAACGTCCGGGTGGAGCTATGGGCAGCATCGTCAGAAGGCGACATCGGAAGCTGGCAGGACACAGTTCAAACTGGACAGGCCAAGATAGATACGCGAGTGAGCCATGGTCTGGAAAAGTTGTCTTTTGATGACAGCGGGCATCGACGCAGCCCTGAGAGACTCGTATTCGAGGGGGATACTGTGACCCTTTTGGTGAGCGACGACCGTTGAACGACTCAGTGCAGAGTAGCATTTTTGACGTCAAGAAACAATTGAGTATTGCCCTTGACCGCAGTCAGCAATCTCCACATCGAGACGCCGCGGAAGTGCAAGATAGGTTCAGTTCTATTTCGATCGAAAGTGCGCCAAGTATGATTTCGTTGCGCCACCAACAACGATGTGTCCATTGGCGGCAAGAACGGTGAGCGCTTCGTTACCCTGATCAGTCGAACACCTCGGACACCAACTTCTGCCGCAGCGTGCAAGATATTTCTTCAAAGAGGTTATGGTCGAGTAGCTATAGCAGGCCCGAGCTTAAGTTAGTAAGGGGAAACAGCACAGAGTCAACGCTCAAACGCACTTTGACTGTTGCTCCACATGCGGACTATCGTCTGTAATCTTCGTTCAACTCCGACTGTGAAGTTTGCTGCCATACTAGTACAACCGACGTTCGCGCGTTTGCGCCTTAGATGGGGAATGAATCAACTGGATCTGTTTGAGACCGCCCGAGTTACAATGCTGTTGCAGCGGTTACAGCTCTGAAAACCGAACTGAATGAAGGCCAACACGGTTTCCCACTCCACACACCAGAATATGCGACGTTCAGGCAAGAAAAAGCGAAGTCATCGTGCGTGGGAAGAAAGAGGCCATCAACGGGTGTCCGATTGAGGTGACGTTGCGGGGAGAAGCGAAAGCAGGGACAGGTCCGCAGACACCATGAAAGACAAGAAGGGACGTGGGATCTGTCACATCGCGTGGATCATGATACGACATCAATTTACCCAGCAAGTAAGTTTTGGACGGTCAAGTTGTGCGCAGGGGAAAGAAGTTATGCTGATTTTTTGTGCGGCCAATTGCAATAAGGATTGCAGGAATATTCGGTCTGCCACCCGAATTCGGACCCAGGCTGATTTGAGTGATAGATGATTGATCCCAATCAACGATGACGTGTGGTCAACCTTCTTTCCTCCTTCTCTCATGTCGGCGCTCGTCCTGCCTTCCTGCTGTCCTCTACGCCCCGGCGGGCGGCTGTTCCAAGTACAACGACGTCATCCCATACAGCGTTCGACTTCGAGTGTTTGCCTTTGACGGGTATTCGTTCCCTGTACCTTGTGGAGTGCGAGAAGGCCTTGGACTTGCGCGGTTCCGACAACGGTGGACGTTGTAAATGCAATGGATCAGAAGCACAGGCATAGTGTCTGGTGCCATAGGAGGTGTAAACCGGTATGTGCTCATAACATAACAGGAAGAACTGCGTATTCATGATTTCCTGAGCCTCGCTTTTCCTTGAACAACTTTCAATCCACCACGAAGCTTTTCCATCGACTCTGACTCTCTTGCCCAAGTCTCATAGGTGTCGGAGGACTCTCCCCGTCGGCGGAACCCAATAGATCACATTCATTCGACAGTTGCTGTTCATTGCCTTCAAGTTGTCATCGGTTGCCTTCCACCGATTCCGAGGCAGATTTTCAAAGCCCGCTGGCAGCGAGAATGTTGACTGCTCTGCGATCCAGCCACCGACGTCATCTCCGCGTTTTGTTTTGCAGAAATTCAAGCACAACCCTGGATATCCGGTTCTTGATGGCATCTCTTCCTTGACGCAGAATAGGATAAAAGGCGGCCCTGTTATTCCCCATCCCTCACTCCAACCACCCACCAGTTGAAGTAAACACTCGAACAAACATGTTCTCCAAATTTGCTGCTCTCTTCGCTCTCGCTGTAGGTCCCTTCATTGGTTGCCTCTCACTGCGCTGACTTGCCTCTTCTGCAGACCCTTGCTGCCGCCACCCCGACCGGGAACCCACCGCCCCCAGTCACTCCCCCTACCTCGCCCCAGTGCTGCAACAGTGTGCAGAGCTCAACCAGCAGCGCTGTCTCCGCCGTTGCCGCCCTCGTTGGCCTCGACCTCACCGGTATCAACGTCCCCATCGGTTTGGGCTGCTCGCCCATCACCGTCGTTGGCAACAACTGGTAATTTCTTCCTCCTTCGATTGTCGTCGTCCACAATGCTGATACGCCGTTCAGTGGTGGCACCACGGTCACTTGCGACGCGCCGGAGGTTCAGTGGGGCGGTCTCATTGCAATCAACTGCATTCCTATCACTCTTTAAGTACCTGTGTAACTGTGCCCGTTGTAACACAGATTGGATTCCTTTGTGCTATTTTTTTGTCTGTTCCCACACGAAGTCATATCACATAAATTGCCCATCAGATCAGCGTGTCATGCCGTGACTCCTTCTTCTCCTAACGTCCACCATGCCGGGAATGTGGACGACCGCCGACCACATCGATCTGCTTCGGCGGTCACTCAAGACGGCCGTCCCGTACACGAGCGGTGTACAGGCCTTGCGGAAGGAGGACTTGGGCCTGTTTTACCGCAGCGCACAACTTGAAGAGGAGAAGGGGGCTGCACGGTGAGTCTCTTCTTAACTAAAAATCGACCCCGGCTGAGTGGAATTGGAAGATACATCGACTTCAGCGAGGGGCCATCCGAAGAGTCACTCGCGCAGCTTGCCAGCGCGTGCCAGAAGGCCACATTTGGCTCGGAGGCAGCAGAAGGGGATGTGTTGGATGAAGAATACCGCAAGGCGGGGAAGATCGATGTGAAAGACTTCTCAGCGCGGTTGGATATCGCGGCGGCGGGTATTCTGGATGCCATTGCGCCGGAACTGCTTGTGTCCCAGGACATGAAGGGCAAGGCTTTGCGGGCGGAGATGTACAAGCTAAACGTTTATGGTGCGCCATCCTTCCGAGTTCTACTTACTTCGTTGACACGTTCAAGGCCCCGGCTCATTCTTCAAGGCCCACAAGGACACGCCGCGTGGAGACAACATGCTTGGCTCGCTTGTCGTTGTTTTGCCAACGCGGCACGAAGGCGGCGCGCTAACCCTCTCACAAAACGAGTCGAAATGGGTCTTTGATTCCGCCAGCCAGCTTCAAGCTCACTCTGGATCGTCTGTTGTCGCATATGTCGCGTTCTTCAGCGACGTCACGCATACCGTCGAGCCCGTCACTGCTGGCTACCGCGTAACTCTCACCTACAATCTCTTCGTCACGCCGGCATCTGCACCGACCACACGGATTACTCCGCCGCCCGAGCTCGCATGCGAAACTTCGCTCCGGGCGCTGTTGGCGGACCCGAAGTGGTTTCCCAAGGGCGGGCATCTAGCGTTTGGGCTGACACATCAGTACCCGATGCCGCGCCCGTACGCCAACAGCTACTCCCGCTCCAGAAACCAGTCATTTATCGACACGGCACTGCTCAAGGGGTGCGACGCCCGGCTGCGGAACGCGGCAGTGCGGGCCGGGCTTCAACCGCAAGTCCGGTTGATGTACCGCATCCGCGAGGACGGGTATGCTGGCTCGCCAGCTCTTATCGTGATGGACGACCCGGTGGAGATCGGGGACGTGTACGAGGAGTTTGATATGGACTTTGAGATTCAGGAGCAGGGAACGATCTTTAAAGAGGTCAACGAGCGCGGGCGGGTGCCGAGTAAGGGCACTGACACGGAGCGTGCAGCGAAGCGGCAGAAGACGGGCGAGGACGAAGCTGCGGCCGAACCTGAGGAGGATGCAAGGGAGGAAGATGGGGAACCGGTATATTGGGTGACCCCGCCTGGGGAGAAGAACGAGGCGGAGAGCGGTTATGGCGGGTATATGGGCAACGACTATGGGCAGGGCTTCGTGTATGGCCATGCGGAGTTGTTTGTGCGGATCCCGAAGGTTGGTGAGGAGGGGCGCGAGGTTTCGGCGGATGACGATCAATAAGAGTGGTAGGTGGTGAAATGGTTCCTCTTGTCTGTAATTGTGCGAATTTGCAGTTGGTATTACTTACTCAGTACTGTACATGTACTTATTTTTTCAAATAATGCACCGCGAAGAATTGGAGCAAGAATGGAGCACTTTTAAAAATTAATCAAGTAATGACCAACCCGGAAAAAGGGACATCTGTATAATACTTCGAGTCGAGAGGTGCAGCATCATTATAACGTGGAGGAACGGACAGCACTACATTGTCGACGTGATAAGCCGCATCAGGATTGAAGATTCAGCGAGCGCTCCTCCTCTTTATCCCCCCATTCTCGACGCTTTTGGTCGTGGGGCCCTGGCCCATAACGCCGCTGCAACGACACCGCAAATGCCACTGCAATACAAGCTCAAGTTGCTCAACCGTCAACGCTTGTCTTCCAACGACGAGCTTGACACTTGGAGGCGCAAATGCACTCAGCTAGTGGTCGTGTGTCGACTGTCGACTATAGTGAGTTCTGAGACCCCTGACACTGGGATCCGCAATTGCAAGAAACGGACAGCATCGACCTCCGCTCGCTGGACATCTCCCCCGACCCCCATTCCAGGCATTGGCAGGCAAAGAGTTGACCGTGAAGGTCAATGGAGCAATAGAGCGACGTGTCGAGGTGACCGTGAGTGGGGAGATTTAGTTGGCACTAAATCGTTCAAATGCTGTAGGATGGGGCCTGGGTCGATGTAGTCGTCAAGATAGGGTTAATCAAGCTCCTCACCAGAAAATTCGACATCGGCGAGGAGGCGTAAGCTACTCCAGCGTTGACCGCCATGCGCTGACCGAATGGCACTAGCAGAGGGTGGGCCAACGCCACTATCCAATGCCCTCAGGCTATCGAGAAAGGCGAATAAGATGTGGCGCAGAGTTTCGATCTACGCAAGGAGATTTCCCCAGGTTTTTGATATGAGAAACCGGGACTGAGGACCTGCTAGGGAGCCGGAGCAGGCTACACCGTCGACGATGAACCCATGTTTTGTCTCAATGTTGTTGCGGATTTCCGAGACCGAAAGTGAAGGTCGTTTAGGCCTTTCCCATCGAAGAGACAATTGCAAGTCATCATTGTCAACAACTCGCACGGACGAAGGTACACATGGGATAATGGATGAGACGGACGTATAATAACTCTTTCTCGAGTCCTGTACTCGCCCAGTGTGAAATTGTGAATGCATTACTCCCAGAACTGGAAGAAGGGCCGGAATTGCACCGTCAGGTCCACACACGCCATACTGTCCTCCTCGACAGTGAAGCCCCGCACACTTATAACATATTTCACTGCGAAAGCAAGCCAGTTAGTTAAAAGAAGCAAGACAGAGACAACGGCGCACATTTGGGCACCTCCTTCGGCAACGTCACTGTCTGCTCGATAGTGTGGAGCCCGGGCTCGACCGGACAGGAGATGGAGGCATTGGCTTTACGACTGTGGAAGGGGAGTGAGTGCGCGGTTTGTGTCGAGTGGAGGGAGGACACACGCTTCTTCGCAGAGGTCAAATGTTTGCTCCAACAGCTTGATACGGCCGACCTTGACGAGAACATCCGCCGTCGCGCCCTCCTGCAAAGGTCCGGCGTCAACAACTCGACACAAGACGCAGCGGCCAACGCACCTCGATAGTCTCCTTCACGTCGGCAACGATGGTGACCGTGAGGTCGGACCCAATCTTCGGCGGGTCGGGGGATACTGTGATAGACCGTATCTGGACCGCATCCGACTCCTCTCCTGTGAGAAACGCGATGAGGGAACAGTCCGCGTGTTCCGTGCTTATCACGCACCGCAGTCCGTGTATTCCCAGCTGTCTGGCGCGGTCCTGACATTTCCGAGAGGTAGTTGCAGCTCTGGTAGCGCGGTAGCGAGAGCCGCAAGGCTGGCGAAAAGCACGATGGCGAGCGAGCGTCGTAACATGGTGGTTAAGAGGAGGTGACGTCGGTTAAGTGACTTATGTGACTTATGTATGTGATTTGTGATTTGTGTGACATGTCAAATGAAGAAGTCTTCGGTTTGAGAACCAGCAAGAATTTTGATGGTGGTATTTCCTTGCCTTTCATCGGACGTAAGGTAGTGTTGGGAAGACAACCAACTTTGGTTGTCAAGCTCAGCTAGATCTGCTGCAAGTAGTTGGCAAGTCTTATCCAATTGAGCTTGAGTACTATGGGCAATACTAAATACTTATAGTGTACTGTAGTAACATTAATAAACAACAAGTTTGAAATAAAAACATCTGTAATTTTTAAGATTACTTTGAAATTTTGTCATATAAGTATTTGACACATGCAGGCAACTTGGAATTCTGAGAAGTTACATTCAATCGATCTGGAACAACTTGGCCTAAAAGCAACTTGATGTTTAAGTTGTAACAACTTGAATTCTGAGATAAGACAATTTCAACTCAAATGAGTTACAGTGTAACTTGCACTCTGATCAAGTTGCCCTTAGTAAGACGAAAGTTGTACAGAACTTTAAAAAAAGTTGCTCCTGTTTTAAATCATGCCTGGAATTGAACTTGTCATTTTCCTTAACTTGTCCTTAATCTGAGTTGCCCTATATAAAAGTTGTTTTGAGATAATTGCTATTTGTATGATAAAAAAGGATCAAAGACTGAAGTTGCATCAAAAATTTAATGTTATTTTTAAGTTTCAGAAGATGTTATTTATTAATGTTACAGTATATTACCCATACTTAAGTCATATACATTGTAGCAGGTACAACATAATTCTTATGAAGAAAATAGGTCTTACTAGTCGTGATTGTCACTAAGGGCGGGCCAGCATAGATATGGGTGTGGGCCTGGGGCCTTGAACCCATGAGCCCAGCCTTGAGCTGGCCATCCAGCACGCCAGGCATGGGTAGTAAAGGCCAATGCTGTGACTGTTGGTTGAAGACCTACCAGCAGTTTGGACAAGGTCTGAGATGTCTAGACTATGCTGTCAGACTGTTTGTCAGACTGCGGGTCGGGCCGTGCAAGGACTTCTCCTAAGAACGCGCACCTGGAACAGAACAGATGAATCGTCGGGCCCGCGAGTATGGCGAGTAGGGTAGAGCACGGGTCAGGGTCAACCCGCAGGGGTTTCAGGGTAGGGTCTGTCAGGGTCAGAGGCAGGGTACACCAATTTCTGAACCTGGCCAAACCCGGACCCTGTCAGGGTCAACCCAGAGGGTCTAAAAAGCTGTTGCGATTTAACAAATTCCTATCTAAACATGATTTTTGTAGGTTTTAAGAGACAAAAAAAAGTCACATGTCACTCGAGTCACACATATGACATGTGACATCTGAGTACACCATATTAAATATACTTAAAATCTTGATGAATAGACTATATGCTGTCACGAATAAGACCCGGCCTGTCCGCTCCGGGCGCTGGTGTCGGGCCATTGCGGGCCCGTAGCACGCAGCACGTGACGACGAGGAACATGCGCCCCAGTAGGAGGACGCACACGTGGGAAGCATGTGACCGAGAACAATGCGTCGAGCCGTCGCCGAGCCCAACTCGACACAAGGGGACTGGGGAGGAGTGCTAGGAGGTTAGGAGTAGCGCCTGGCCTGCAAGGGATATATGATCGTCCCCTCTACGGCCAGGAACGGGGGCGAGGAGGAGCAGGAGAGGCCAGGGTGTCCGATCACCCCCTTTGCAGGCCCGCATATATAAGACGCGATAGTGTACCCATCGGGCCCGACACGACCCGATTCGAACCTTCTACAACCGATAGCGACAAGGGACCGAGTTCATGGCCCTTTCGGTTTTGATCTACCCCGCCCGCCATACTTGCGGGCCCGACTATCCGTCTGTTCTGTTCCCGGGCGCGCGTTCTTAGGAGAGGTCCTTGTACGGCCCGACCCGCAGTCTGACACATACGCTATATCTGAGCCAATATCATATAGCAAAATGTATGTTATGTTGAAATTATTGTATCTAATATATCTTCTGCTTCCATGTCTACAACCCGTGGGTCAACCGGACCCGGTTAGACCTGTACCTGGAAGGGTCAGGGTTAGGGTCAGCTCTCTGAGACCCAGACCCGGACCCGTGCTCACCACTAATGGCAAGCGGGGTAGATCGAAACCGAAAGGGCCCGTTAACTCGGTCCCTTGTTGCTGTCGGTGGTTGAAGGTTCGAATCGGGTTGTGTCGGGCCTGATGAGTCGTTAGCACCTCCTTGCACAGAGAAAGGTAGTTCTTCAGAGGATCTAAGCGATAGAGTACATGGTACGCTCAGTACATATAGCTGCATCTATGCAAAAGATGTGGGTACCATCCCAAGGGGGTAATGCAAAAGATGTTGTGACAGATGTATTTCATGAATTTCTCACTGGAATCAAGAGATATGACTAATATAAAAATGCATATAGGAAGATAAATCACCTTTTCTTTGGGCCGAATATTCGTAATATTATATTTGGGACTTATAAGCCCAGGGACCAAAAAATTAATAATCGATTAAGTAAGGTTGATGTAGCAAGATGCAGTCATCAAAAGCTCTGATGGCAATCAAAAATCGTTCCACATTGATCAACATACCTATATGTCATTGATCCCATCACTGATACCTTGATATAGCAGCCACAAACAAGAAAACAGTGTTATTTAATTTAATTTTCAAGCAGTTGCCCTCATCTTTTGCATTACCCCCCTAGGATGCCACCCACATCTTTTGCATAGATGCAGCCATATGAGCTGGTACGCTATCGCACATTATATATGCGGGCCCGCAAAGGGGGTGATCGGAGACACCCTGGCCTCTCCTGCTCCTCCTCATGACCGTTCCTGGCCGCAGAGGGGACGATCGTACATCCCTTGCAGGCCAGGCGCTACTCCTAACCTCCTAGCACTCCTCCCCAGTCCCCTGGTGTCGAGTTGGGCTCAGCAACAGCTCGACACGTCGTTCTCGGTCACGTGCTTCCCACGTGTGCGTTCCTCCTACTGGGGCGCATATTCCCCGTCATCACGTGCTGCGTGTTACGGGCCCGCGGTGGCCCAACACCAGCACCAGAGAGGACGGGCCGGGTCTTATCCGTGACACTGTTATATCCATGCTGACTCCGGCATTCAATTCTGACTCTGATTCTGGTATTTGGGTTTTAGGCAATAAAGATTTACTGAGTGTTCCCAATTATGCTGACTTCTGATCTATGCAATCATCTATGCCTTATTCCTCATATACAACTCCCTTACTACTTTACTCATCCTTGTTCTAATCTTGTTACTTACCTTGTTATCACTGATTCTGTTTCCGTTACTTTTCATACTATAAATACTTTGATGTATTACTATGTACTTCAGTTCGTAAATTAATGTTGCTGGTCTCTATTACCTAGTAGCATCTTGACTTCTCTCTTGTTTTGGCTTATGGTCAACTGGAAGCCATGGTCACCCAAACATCCTTCTGTGGTGTTCCGTCCCCAAGTGCATTCGGACTTTGATTTTGTTTCCAACTTCGATTCTGACTCCGCTCCTCTGGTCAACATGGCACTTCACACAGACTATGGGCAATATACAGTAACATTAATAAGCAACATCTTCTGGAAAATGACATAGGTAATTTTGAGACAACTTTAATTTTTTTATACAAGCAATTTTCGCCTGCAGATGACTGTAAGGGCAACCCTAGAGGCCTAAGATCCAGGTCCTAGCAGGGGAGGATCCAAAGAGAAGAAACTCTAAGGGTCCGCCCGCTAGGTAGCTGACTATTGAAACACATGAAATGAGAGCAATGGTGAATGCAGAAACAACTCCACCAACAACCAAAACACCCAAATCAAGGTCTGTATGTTCAGGGTTCCATGGAAAACATATCCATGCATGATGACTAAGTTGAGGTGGTGAAAGTGGTGTAAGTGTGATGGTATCACTGTTGACAGTGATGATGTTGATGATGGGAAGTATGCTGGTGATGGTTGATAGTGGTGGTGTCGATGTTGAAGTTAAGTTAGGTGGAGAGGAAGGAGGTGTGGATGTAGCATAGGACAAAGATGACATACTAAGTATGCCTCTTGTGGCCAAACATCCCACAACAACAACCCACTCCAAAATGATCTCAACCCAAAACCCAAAATGATAGTGGTCACAGTCACCGTCCCATCTAGTATGTCATTGCTGAAAATAGATACATTACCTGTTCCCTTTGTTGTCTCCATCATTGAGGGTAGAACAACTAGCATTAAGAGCATCAGCTTCCACACCATAAATGGCATAAACAACTCCAATATGGGTTGCTCCATTTAAAGAGGGCAACATTCCATAAAGGGAAGCACATCTGAGCATAGTTTCCCCATCTTCATGTCTTCATATCAAGCTATAACTCCAATCTCCTATAAATTCAGGTGTTCTCGGGTGGTGGGTAGTGATGGGATCAAATGATGTAAGCATATCTTGGTTCAAATCAAAGTTGTTGTCGTTGTTGTCAGCAGTAGTGAGACCTAAAACCACCCTTAGAGGCATGTTCATAAATTCGGAACAAACAAGTGTAAACAACAAACACAAGCATGTACAAATAAAATTGCTGAATAATCTTCCCCAAATCTCCCCCCACCAGCTTCCCATTCCCATGTCAGTCACCCTGCTGTCAGGGGAACCCCTACTTCGGCCTCCTTCGGACCATCCGAGGGCATCCGAGGCACATCCGACCGGCGCCCCCTCGGACGCTCCGACCCACCCCGACCATCGTCCACGGCCTCCTTCGCCCGCACAATCACCGATCCGTCAAGACCCTCCCAACGATCACCTTGGGACAGAGCCTGCGACGCCGCTCAGGCCTTCTGCGCTCTACGTCGGCAGTTACGGACGACCAGTATATAGTTGGCGCCCTAGCAGGCGGACCCTTAGAGTTTCTTCTCTTTGGATCCTTGTAAGCCTGGGAGCCTTACCTACATTCCTCCGTCACATTAGCACTGCCTCTTTAGTCACTCACCTCTGTCCTCCATCGTTG